TGTCTTTCCAGCACATCTATAACTATTGATTCCTATGAGAGAGGCCTAATTATATTTGTGCTTATCTTAAAACCACAGCATTGAAAGAGGCTTTAAAAATTCCTTCATCTCATCTAGAGCCTGGGTTCATCCCATCCCCCATCAGTCTTCTTTCTGTGGTACAAGTAATAGAAACCAACTCTGGGCAAATTCAACCAAAAAGGGTGTTTGTGTTATCGAAAGGGCGGCTCCAGAAATGAAAAGGCAGCTGAAGAACCAGGTTAGGATGACTCAGGTACCGTGAAGATTCTGGGGATCTAGATGACTAGGTGATAGGCACTGACAGGTGGTGTCACCCCATGGTGATTCCAAGGAGATATTGGAGGGTATCTGGAGGAACTTGAAACCCTTCCATCCAACCCTCATTCTTTGTATGAGAAGTTGAGCTTTCTTACCCTTATGCAAAATGCTATGTGAAGACAGGTTCAAGTGGTCCCTCAAATCCTGCCCTCAACAGATTGCCATCCGCATCCTTTCTACATAGAAACTCTAAGGCTCCAAAACCTAAAATGCAATTAAAAAAAAGAAAGAAAGAAACTATAAGGCTGCCACTGAAACAACCGCTGGGGATATCAGCTTTGCATTGTCTTGCCCAACCCCATTCTCGTACCACTGCAGAGAAGAGAGTCCTTCTTTGCAGTGGTGCGAGAATGGGGTTGGGAAGAAAGTCCATTTGGACCACCTTAGGTGTGTGACCACTCTTTGGCCAGGGTCATTGTTTAAGTCAAGGCTGCCACAATAGAGGAGAGGTAATTCTCCACAAGGAAAATTGGGGGCTCTTCCCCAAGGGACAGAGAATGGCCAAAAAACATATGGTCACTATCTTACCAAGAGAACGACAATCACTTTCAGTGATATGAGCTGTGCTGACTCTTCGAGCAGCCTCCTAAGTTCTGACAGCTGCAAATCCTGTGTTTCCTTTAGGAGAACTCAGCCCCCATGGCTTTCCTCTGCTGATCCTGGCTACACATTCTTGAGCTCATCCAAAGCAAATCTTTCAGATACTTCATATCAACCCGCAAGTCAAACTCTTCTTGCAAGTTACTCTCTCCTTCTCTAGATATTTTTGGGGGCTCTGAACTAGTTATTTTCTTTTCCTGGGATGTACTTGCCCCAAATCTTTATATGCCTGACTCCATTTCACCCGTCAGTTCTCAGCTCAAATCTCATCTTCTCAATGGGGCCGAATCGGACAAATCAAGCTCAAGGCCGTCATACTCAGTGCCTCTCTCTATCTGCCACCCTGCTTTTCATAGTCTTTGTTGCAACGTGAAATTCCTTTTTGAGGTTTTACTTTTTGTCTTTCTTTCTCATGAAACTAAGCTTTAAGTTTCATGAGAACAGAGACCTTCTCTGTCTTTGTATTACTGTATATATTCATCGCCTAGAACTGTGTCTTTTAGACTAAAGTTGCCCAATAATTATTTACTAATTAAATAAATTAACAAATTTACATGTTTTATACAAGTTTTTATTGTAATATATAATATGCATGGGGAAACATACATAAGACTATATGTACTGTTTAAGAGATGGTTCTAAAGTGATGGTTTTAACAAATGACACTACCCAAGTCAAGAAACAGAACAGTACTGGAATCCAAGAAATCGTTTTTGCATTTCAAGTGTCCATTTCCGATCCAACCCTTTCTTCCCCCGAGAGGTGACTACTATCTTCACTTATGTGATCATCATTTTACTTGCTTTTCTTCATAGTATTATCACCTATACACTCATCCCTAAACCATAGAGTTTAGTTGAGCTAGATATAAATGGAATTATATTATATATACTTATCTGCACAATAATGACTTTACTAATAATTACTTCATAAATTTATTTTAAATAATCTATTATATAATTATAATTGTATAAAGTATTTTATATAATTATATATTATTAATCATATTATCTATTATATAATCATATAATTTATGTATATGGTATTACTGGATTCTTCCCTAGAGCCTTCATAGAGAACATGGTCCTGCCGACACCGTGGTTTTGGACCTCTGGCCTCTGATACTATGAAAGAATACATTCTGTCATTCAAGTCCTCCGGTTTGCGGTACTTTGTTACTGCAGGGAGAGGAAACTAAACCTAGAAATTCCAACCTCCATAACTAATGTGCTGAAGTTTATGAGTAATCATAATGTTATTTCCTTCCTGGACAAACACGAAACACAGGGAAACCACAAAGAAGAACCTTGTCTTATTCTCTATTTCCCTTCTTCAAACTCATCTGCTTTTGTTGGCTGGTACTTTAATCAATCCCCCTTTTCCCGCACTAGAAATTGTCATTGCTATTTTATACGGTCGATGCTTATTTTGTTTACCCACAGTTACCTACTTTCTTTGCTCCACAAAGTTTGATGCATCTCAGTTCGTCTTTCTGGCATCACTATCTTTCTGCCTAAAGGACAGCAAGAGATTTTCTGTAGTGAGAATCTGCTGGCGACAACTTCTGTCATGTGTAGTTTGACTTTCACTGGGTGTAGAATTCTGTGTGGCAGTGATTTTCTGTGGTACTCTAAAGACACCGTTTCGCTGTCTTCTGTCTACCATGACTGCTGCTGGGAGAAGAGCTGGCTCTTTGTTAGAATCACTCTAATTGCTCTTCTTTAAAAAGCAACTTATCTTTTATTTCCTCTAGCTGCTTTAAATACATATTTTTTTACTTTTGTTTTTCGGCAGTTTTACTATAGTGCATCTAGTTGCAGATTTTATTTTACTTGCTTGGGGTTCCCCAGATCTCCTTGATTTATAGATTAACATGTTCCTTCAATTCTGGAAAATTCGCAGCCATTTTCTCTCCCAGCATTTCCTGTACCTCTTCTTCTCTTTCGTCTCCTCCCAAGGACACAATGTTAATTTCTCACTATACCCTCCTTGTGTCTTACTCTCATTTTTTTTTTCCTGCTCCATGTTTCGGTTGGATAATTTGTTATAATTTATCTTTCTATTCTTTAATTCTCTCTTATCCAATCTGCTGTTTTATCCTATTTACTGTCAAATCCATCCACTGAGTTTTTAACATTATTTTAGTATTTATTTATTAAAAGTATTTCTTTTTCAAATCTGCTATGACAAATTTTATAGTTTTTATGTTTCCTGCAGATATTATAAACTTTGTCATTTACTTCTTTAAACATGGTAACTATGGTGGTATTTTAGTCTGTATGATACTTTCTTTATAGTTTTTTTTTTTTTTTTTTTTGAGACGGAGTTTCACTCTTGTTACCCAGGCTGGAGTGCAATGGCACGATCTCGGCTCACTGCAACCTCCGCCTCCTGGGTTCAGGCAATTCTCCTGCCTCAGCCTCCTGAGTAGCTGGGATTACAGGCACGCGCCACCATGCCCAGCTAATTTTTTGTATTTTTAGTAGAGACGGGGTTTCACCATGTTGACCAGGATGGTCTCGATCTCTTGACCTTGTGGTCCACCCGCCTCGGCCTCCTGAAGTGCTGGGATTAGAGGCTTGAGCCACCGCACCCGGCTTAGTCTGTATGATACTTTCAATACAGGACAGGAGTGTAGATGCTTCTGCTTTCTGTTGATTCTGCAGATTCTCATTGAAATCCTAGCTTAATTTGAGGAGGTCTCCTAAAAATTTCCCACCTTGGATGGCTTTGAGCTCTGACCTTTGCTGCCTCTCCGCATGCAGCCCCTGAGCAGATCCCAAGTGAGTGATAACCAGAGATGCCTCCAGGCCTCAGTGCTTTCATGTCTGATATTCCAGTCATTTTTCTGGTTACAAGTCTTTCTCCCCAAATTGGCTCGGGAACTTCTCACTGCTGTTTTTTTCTTTTCAGTCCTTTTCAGGAGTTCAAAATTATTTTTACGTGTGTGTGTGTGTGTTTGTGTGCAGTAAAGGGTTGATTTGAATAACCTAGCTGCCATGACTGGAAACCAGAAGCTCAATGATACATTTTTTGGTCTTTTACATTCTTGAATACATCCAAGTTAGCATAATATCCCCACAACGTAGTGGAATTCGAGTGCTTAACTGTATGCAAAGTACTATACATATGATTATAGACTAGCACCAAGGAAAACGAAGGGAAAATTAACCTTGCTTAGCTTTCTTATCTAATTCTAGTTATTTAAGAATAGTCCAAGTCCTTATTAAACAATAACCGGTTACGTGTCTCAAGGCAGTGTGAAGTCCACAAATCTTCATAGAAGAAACTGAACTCATAGTCTAAGTGCTGACATATTTACTGGAGATAGATTTATTTAAACAAATAATCAGATCTGTGAGTGGAAGCCTCCAAAAACACAAAATTAAAAAATCAACAATTGCTTTTGCTTATTAGAAAGAGGCTATTTTTTTTATATTTTAAAAATATCAATGCTTCTCGCACATGCCCTCATACAAAATTAATGAAATAGAATATTTTTTATCAAAATATTAAAAATAATTATGCTTTTAAAACTAGGACTACTGTGAAGACTAAAAAATTTTTGAATGCAAATTACAAAACCTTTTGGTCTGAAAACATAAGGTACTCCACGTTTTACCTATTGTAAAGTTTAAAGTCTTTGTGAGCAATTTGAAGTGTCCTTTCCTACTGATGCGGCCTACAAATTTCAAAATCCAATCTCTATTCTGTTTGATAGTAGGTGCTTTCTGAAGGCTATAGTCCATCACACAAGAAAATACTTCTTCTCACTTATACAACACATGTGTTCATGCTGTTCAATTTTAGAATACAAATACTAAGTCGATCGTTCTTCATTCTCTTGAAAAGCTAAGTGAGGTTAAAAAAAAAATAGCCATAAAGTGCAGATCACACACACACACACACAAAAGTTATTTCCTTTCCACGTGATTTCCAACAGTCATGATGAAGCCAGCATTGGGTGCTGAGTGAGTGTCATGTGGGCCTTTCTGGGGCCCAGGACAGCCGTGCTCAGCAGCAAGGACATCTCTCCTCAGATTGTTTAAGAAGTGAAACCCTGCCTCTCCTGACCCCATAGCCTCCACCTTGATTTCCAGAGGCTTGAGACCGCAGATGTCCCTTTGTAGCTTAATCAAGTCATCTTGGGTGGTTTCTCCACATTGCTTTTGCACGTATACTCAGAAATGGGTATCTCAAAGGAGAACTCAAATATTTCTCTAGACAGGCAGCATAGTGGAGTGGTGGCTTCAGGAGTGGCCTCGGATCCAATGCTGACTTCACCACCTACTGCCTTAAGATCTTGATGATCTCATCCCTCTGTACCTCAGTTTCCTCATTTGTTAGAAGAGAATGATTGCTTTCACTTCATAGACTTGCTGTGAAGAATAATTGAGGTCATAAACAGAAAGAATTTAGACTAGTTTGGCATATAAAAAGTGCTCAATAAATTTTTGATGTTATTATTCAGACTTGAGATATGTTGTGCACAGCTTTGGTTAACTCACCTTGGGAGAGTAATATTCTTGAGAGAGAGTTTTGAATGTAGTTCAGAAATAATTAAATGCCTTCCTTGATTGAAATAGAAAGGCAATTAAGACAATGAAACATTTTCTCTGTAGTATCTAGGACATATTTTTCTCATTTTCCTTTCGTAATGGAAAAATGTGAAACTTGGTGAAACTTTCTCAGAGTAGTGACAAATTACTCATTCTGAGGTCAATTGTTCTCCAAAAAATACATTTCAAACAGGGAAGGAGGGTAAGATTCTAGAAGCCTTGGAATTCAATGCTGAGGTAGAATGATGGTTAGGACTCAGGCAGCTCAGGTTCCTGGTGTTACCAGCCATATGATTTGGGAGAAGCTCTTCAGTCCCTCTGAGTCTCAGGCTTCCTAACTATAAAGTAGAGGTAAAAATATCCACCTGCAATGGTGAAGGCATTAGGGGGCAGGAGACAGGCTGTGACGGTTATTACATGATAGCTGAGCAAAAACCCAGAACCGACTTTACAATGGGTTCCAGTGACTGACTATAACAGGGAGCAACCTGTTCACATAAAATGAGCCCAGTAGCCAAGCTGCTTTCATTCTGCCCAAGAAAATCATCTCATAGGCCAGGTGCCGTGACTCACGCCTGTAATCCCAGCACCTTGGGAGGCCGAAATAAGCAGATCACCTGAGGTCAGGAGTTCCAGACCAGCCTGACCAATGTGATGAAACCCCATCTCTACTAAAAATACAAAAATTAGCCGGGCATGGTGGTGGGCACCTGTAATCCAAGCTACTCAGGAGGGTGAGGCTGGAGAATTGCTTGAACCCAGGAGGCAGAAATTGCAGCAAGCTGAAATTGTGCCATTGCACTCCAGCCTGGGTGAGAAGAGTGAGACTCCGAAAAAAGAAAGAAAAGAAAGAAAGAGAAAGCAAGAAAACCATCTCACAGATACATGTCTGGTTATCTTGGATGGGGCACAAAACAACCCAGGTATGTGTCTAGGAATAAGGCAGTGGAATAAAAAACGGGGAGGCAGTGACAACTTAGAATGTTATAGATGCTGCATTCATTAATTTCTTCATACACCTGATTATTTTTCTGATGGAAGTTATATTTATTTCATTGAGGGGTATTGGGAAGGCTCTGTGAGAGGGTAAACAGATGAAATTCCACAGCCCCCATCTTTAAAGGAACTGTAGGGAAAAAAGGGAAGCGTATTTATAGAAAGCCATCTAGGTGTTTGAGTATAATATCAGAGTAGGCTATTGTCAGGCAGCTCTAAAATTTCAGTGACTTCACACAATAGATGTTTAGGTCTTGCTCATACAAGGTCTATTTCCTCATGTAGTAGTTTATGGACGCAGATTCCTCCCATTTTGTGACTCTGAGATTCCCTAGAGTGGGAGTCAGCAAACCGGCTCACGGGTCAATTCCAACCTACTGTTTTCAAGCATTTTTCTGTAAATAAAGTTTTATTGGAACACAGTCACACCTACTCATTTCCCTTTCATCTGTGCTTTGTGGCTGGTCTCACATTGCAATGGTAGACTGAAGTGGTTGTGACAGAGACTGTATGGTCCACGAAGGTTAAAATATTTACATTCTGTCCCTTTACAGAGAAAATTTGCTAAGTCTTGCCATAGGGCACTGGAATCCAGTGTTAGATTCTCTGATTCAGCCCACAGACTGGGGAGAAAAAGAGTGGAAGATTATGCAGGAGAATTTGTGAACTATGTCTGGAAATAGCTTTGTTCAATCCCACCTCAACCTGATTTCAATGGAAGCCAGGAAATGCAGCCTTGCTATTACCAAGAAGGAAAATGCAAAGCAATTCTTCACAGACTGGGACTGTGCTAGACTATTCCATTCACTCTATTCTTTTTGTTCATCAAAACAACCCTTTAAGCTGGGTATGGTGGCCTGAGCCTATAGTCTTAGCTACTTGGGAGGCTGAGGCAGGAAGATCACTTGAGCCTAGGAGTTTGAGGCTGCTATGATCTTTGATCACACAGCCACTGAACTCTTGCTTGGGCAATATAGACCGCATCTCTAAGGAACAATCAAGCAAACAAAAATCAAAGACAGAACTGCTTTGCAAATGAGATCTCTGAGGTTCAGAGAGGTTAAGCAACTTGCCTCAAGGTTACCCAGCATCAAAATAGTTATAGTAGTGATAAGATCCTCATCATACTTGTGCTATTCTTTCTGAAAAATATTTGTAATTGTGGTAAAATATATTAATACTTAACATGACATGAACTTCTCTAATTATTTTTAAAGTGTACACTTCAGTAGCATCTGAAATGTGTTCTTGAGAGTGGGAAGTTTGCTAGTTGTTAAGGAACTTAAAACTTAGGGTTTTCATTTCAGTGATAATCTTCAAAAGTTAAACAGATTCAACTGGGAAATACCTTAAACTGAAGACTAACATGAAATTTCTGAGCTTAAATTTTGGTTTATATTTATTGGTACCAATGGTAATTCTGAATTGTCATAGGCTGGTAAGAAGGGACTGAAATGAATTTGATACTGAAATTATTTCTTTAAGCTTTTCCTATGCACTATGAATTAAGGAATGTTTTGTGGTAGTTTACAAAAAGAGAAAAGTGATAGAAGAATTAAGCCATCACAAATTACATAACTATATAGGCATGCCATACCCAAAAGGGTCTACTCCATTGAACTCAAAACAATGTTGATATTTGAGAGGCAATTCAGTTTCCACAAAACAATGTTATCCAGTATATTTTATTATTGTTTACTTATAAATCTTTGGTTTTGTGGCTTTTTTCTTTTTCACTTAGTTTGTAATTTAGTTTCACAGTTGTTTAAGCATTATTATGCATGAAGAATTGATCTCTAGTTTTATGCTTGCACGTATTTAAATTACTTAATAAAATTAATTTAAACAAAAACATGAGAGGTCCAGAAGAATACTTTCTCCTTGAAAGGTGTATGTCTATGACTCAAGTATAAGAGTGTCTACCCTACAGAAATAGTTCTCTTTTACCAAAGATTTAAATTTGAATTAGGAAACTGTACCAGTGAAGACAAGCTAAGTTCAGCTGCAATAACAAGCAAGCCAGAAGTCACAGTGGCTTAAATTCATTGTATATTGATTCATTAGATTAAATGTATTACATTAAATTCATTGTATATTGATAAAGAACTCATGGTGCTTCTTCTAACTGCCTACAAACTCCTCTTGGTATTATTAAAATCTTCCACTCACTGAACAAAACCAGCACATGATAAACCGTTCAGAAAGGAAACTTGTTTTTACTTCTCAGGGTAGGACATCCGTATGGCTGTATAGGCATATATGGTCCAAGAAACTTCTTCTGCCAGTTCCTTCTACATGTCTGTCTACAAACTTCTCTTTGTGATAAAATCTTCCATTCCCTGAGCAAAAACAGTACATAATGAAGTGTTCAGGAATAAAAGCTTGTTAATATTTTCAGGCCTGGGTAACTGTATGGCTCTGTAGGCACAAATGGGTTTAAGAAACCTCTGCTAGCTTCTTCTAAATGTCTGCCTATAACATCATCTTAGTGTTAAAATCTTCTGTTCACCGAAAGAAAACAGTACATCATGAACTGCTCAGAAAAGAAGTTTGCTTTTGCTTTTCAGGGCTGAATATCTGTATGGATATCAGGACCCAAAGTGATCATCATAGCAGGACCCAAACTGATGGATCTACCCTCAGTAATATTTCTGGTTGAGGAGAATGAGTGCTCTGTTGGTTCTCTCACCTGCAGATAAATGCGCTGGATGAATTAAGTCAGATGCCTGCACCAAACCTCTAGAAGAGGAGCGCAGTCCTCAGGTACAGCCTGGATAAGAGTGAACCAGGCATCTGTTACCAGCAATAATGTCTGCAACAATGTCTGCAACAGAAAGCATCCTGCATCTTTTTATACAAAAGTGCTCCATGGCATTGTTCTGACACTTTCTATTTCCTGCTAACGCTTCCGACAGCTTTGTAAATTTCATAGGCAGCTGTAGCTTCTGAGTTACACCCCAAATCTGCTGCTTCCTAGCCACACGGTATGGGCAAACCTAACCCTGTTCCTCCTCTGTGGAATGGGGCAGAAATGTGAGTTGCATGGTGTGTTGAGAGAAGTCAAGGCTGTAACTCACGTGAAAGTTCTTCATCAAATTTAAATTATTATCCAAATGAAAGTATTATAACAGTATTATTCTTGGCAATCAAACATGCCACACCAAGGGTAAATAATAGTCAGTAATGATTTCACCCTATGGCGCTCATCACACAATCAATATTTTCTCACAAAAGTTTCCTGAAAATCCACAGAAAATCTCTTTAAGTTATCAGATAATGAAACCTGTAGAGAGCAGCTCTTCAATACAGAAGCAAATTTCTCCTCTTCGCTAGAAAATGACAAAGCATTTTTCATGGCCCCAAATCTATATCTATATGGCACACTTTTCTGGCAGATTCCCATGTTTAAAAGATTTGAGGTTTAAGAAAAGAAGTACTATCTATTCTGCCTAGGAAGTGGTTAAGTTGAGATCAGTATGAAAAAAAGAAAAATGATTCACAAAAGAGTGTTGGGAATGGAGACACAGAAAGACTTTTATACTGTAGCATCAATGCTAAAACTGCTATCACCCGGATACCTCGGGATGCTAGCTTAGTAGAACTGGGTAGTACCCTGAAGATCATGTTGTCTCCTCTTGTTTTCTAGGTGTCTCAATCAGCTCAGACAGCTATAACAGAATACCACAAACTGGGTGACTTAAGCAACTGACATTTATTTCTCACCGTTCTGGAAATTGGGAAGTGTGAGATCAGGATGCCAAAATGGTGAGGTTCTGGTGAGGGCTCTCTTCTTAGCTTGCAGAAAGCTGCCTTCTTATTTTGTCCTCATATGATGGCAGGTTTGGGGGGAGGGTGGAGAGAGAGAGAGAGAGAGAGAGAGAGAGAGAGAGAGAGAGAGAAAGAGAGCATGCTAGCTCTAGTCTCTTCCTCTTCTTTTAAGGACACTAATCCCACCCTCGTGACCTCATCTTAACCTAATTACCTCCTGATTATCTTTGGGCAGTAATATCATCACATTGTGCATTTGGGTTTCTATGAATTTGGCAGGGCAGAGGAGGGGGCAGAGTGCAAACATTCAGTCCATAACACTGCATGAGAAAAAGGTCTGGAAAAGTTAAACGACTTGCCCAAGATCATGTTATTAAATACAAGTTGATTAGTCAAATATATTTTTCCTTTTCACCAATCTGAAATTATAGAATTGAATTTGATGCAGAGAAAAAAGTTGTTTTCTTCTGCAAACAATTGCTAATAAAGCCTTTTCTTTTCTTTTTTGAGACGGGTCTCTCTCTGTTACCCAGACTGGAGCATAGTGGTGTGATCTTGGCTCACCTCCTGGGTTCTAGCAATTGAACTTCAGCCTACCAAGTAGCTGGGACTACAGGGGTGTGCCACCACGCCTGGCTAATTTCTGTATTTTAGTAGCGATGGGTTTTCATCATGATGGCTTGGCTGGTCTCCAACTCTTGATGGATTTACCCTCAGTAATATCTACCCTCCGCCTGCCTCAGCTTCCCAAAGTGCTGGGATTACAGGTGTGAGCCATCATGCCTGGCCAATTGCTAATAAAGTCTTTTCTAGTAGAACTCTATGTAACTTACTTCATGATGTATCTGCAAGTGGACTAAGGACACACTGAATATTCTTGCCAAGATCTAGCAATAATTCTGAGTTTCCTATTAAGTATTTGCAAAGTTTAGTTGTTTTCCTTGTTTCAGAGGCTTCCAGATGTTTTTACCCTGGGGAAATGTATGAATAGACTAAGAAAATGAGATTCAGATTTCTAGTTAAATGATTTTATTATCCGATTATTTTATTTAATTAGATGTGAAAGTCTACTTCTCACCCTAGGAAAAGAATTCTCCAATGGTCCCCATAAAGAAAAGAAAAGATGAGTTATCTTTCTAAGTGTATTAGTCAGGAGAGGCTAAGTTATACTGTAGTACAGAAAAACATCTGGAATTTGCAGTAACAAAGAATTATTTCCCATACTTGCTAAATATCTCTGTGTATCAGAGAAGTCTTTACTCTACATGTCTGTGCCGGAGGTGGCATGCTGATGGAAACTCCATCTGGGGGGCAGCAATAGTTGTACCACTGGGAAGGGGATTTGGTAAATTGCACACTGGCTCTTCACACTGCCTCTAAGTGACACATGTCACTGCTGCTAATTTGTCATTTGCCAGGGCAAATCACAGGGTCACAGCTAAATGCAGAGGGGTCAGAATACCTCCATCCTTTTATGTACCTGGAAGAAGAAAACCCAAAATGTTGGTGAACATCCCTAATGGCTACCACACGAGGAATTAAAAAGGAAAATGGAACACACTCCAAGTTTATCAAAATGCCAGTGTCTCACACCGTCAATAGGAATCAAATTCCCAAATATCCATCAGCTGTACAATAAAATATCTTAACACATTAATCTGATGCAGGTTGGGTTTCCTGAATCCATTTCTTCATCTCTATACAAGAGAATTGCATAGAATGGGAAGTAAGTACAATAAACCAAACTAAATTGGGGTTTGGGTGAGGTTTCCAGAAACAGATTGTGGGCCAGCAAAATGTGGAGATGCTTTTACACCTTTTGTGGATTTTGCTAGCCTCATTTCTCCAGGAAGAAAATCATGTATTTATGACATGACAATACTCATCAACAGTCTTTCCAAAATAATTGGGCAGTAGGAAAGTTACAGCTGTAACAGGGAGAAAAGTTCATTTTCACCTAAATTGCCGATAGGAGTATTTGTTTAATGGGTCAGTCTAGAAAGATATGTTCAACCTTTAAAACTTAATCTTTTTGGGAAATGTCTTAAGGTCTAGAATATGATCAGATAACCCTCATTTGTTTCTTTTATTTGGATACAATCATTTGCTTAGACATGTATTTTTAAACTTTTAATATATTAGTAGCAATACATTATCTTATTTGGGTTTTCTTTTGTTTGGGTACAATCATTTGCTTAGACACGTATTTTTAAACTTTTAATGTATTGGTGGCAACAAAGTTTTCAAGTAGGGAAACACTTAAACTAGCTCAGAATCTCCCCTAAACTAAAAAATAGAGTTTTGTACTTTCCAGAATAAGCACTTTTTTTCTTTTCTTTCTTCTTCTTCTTCTTCTTTTTTTTTTTAGGTGGAGTTTCACTCTTGTCTCCCAGGCTGGAGTGCAATGGCTGTGATCTCAGCTCACTGCAACCTCTGCCTCCTGGGTTCAAGAGATTCTCCTGCCTCAGCCTCCCAAGTAGCTGGGATCACAGGCATCCACCACCACACCCGGCTAATGTTTTGTGTTTTTAGTTGAGATGGGGTTTCACCATATTGCCCAGGCTGGACTCAAACTCCTGACCTCAGCTGATCTACCTGCCTTGGCCTCCCAAAGTGCTGGGATTACAGGTGTGAGCCACTGCGTCCAGACAATAAGCACTTTTACAGTATTTCTTTAAATCTTTCTTGGTAAAGATCTACAAAGCAGGAGGAAATGACAAGAGGCAAAGTTTGCCGATTTACTGTTTAATTATATTATCTCTCTCCCCTCTACCCCTTAAATACTTGTAGCAGAGCAGGGTTAACGTTATAAAAATATTTATCATATAATTCATGCCTAAGATGCAAATGAAGATATAACAGTAAGATAATTTCATACAGAGGTACAGTGAATTCTGTGTGACTAAGGCAAGCCACTTTTGCGTTTTAGTTTTTTTTAAAACTTTTTGTGTTTCAGTATTTTTGAGTTATTATGATTACTGAGTATTGATTAGAGTGCTATATATCATTTAATCCTCCATAGTTAAGACTTTTAGAATTTAGGAAACTGAGGAAGAAGTGACTTGACCAAGATTGCCTAGCTAGTTAGCAGAGGAATGCTCTTTAGAGATAAATCATTGTGGTGACATTTCAATCAAAGTACCTGATAATTGCAGTGCTTTCCCACACCCAGCTCTCTAGAAAAAGAAAGAATTTAAATGGTACATTTATTCATAAACACGCAAGTACTCATTCTGTGTCTTTTCCTGTCCCAAAGCCTGTGGATACAGAGCTGAATAGGTCTGCAAGACACAGAGGTTAAGAAAAGTGGGCTCTGGCATCAGACAGGCCAACTTGGGCGAGGCTCCGCAATGCTACCTTGGATGGGTACTTATTTTCTGTAACCTCAGTTTCTTCACCTGCAAAATGGGAAACAATCTTGGTGCTTTCTTCACGGTTTTGCTAGGAAAATAAAATAATACAATATGATTTTGCACAGTAGAGCACGTTAAATACTCCGTAGTATGCACTTGGTGTATACTAGGTTTTATTGTTGAATAAGCAAGGTTAGTCATGGCTCCTCTCAGAGGAGCTCCCTGATTAGGGAGAGGAGAGAAAAGTTTAAACAGCATTTCCCCTACAATGTGATGTGAGCAGGAGGGAAACCAGAGAAAGGCTCGAATGAGCCTTAGAAAAGTCTAAAAAGGTTTTCATAGAGGTGACCTTCCAGTTGGTGATTATAGGGAAAGTAGTGCTTCACTATGGAGAAGGAGGTAGGCATTCCGGCTATATCCAAATAGGGGTTGGAAAGGCGTGTTTGGGGACCTCAAGACTCGGTATAGGGGAACATTGAAGCGAGAGAAAGAGAAATAATGAAAGTGCATGGGAAATCACTAAGTGTGGAACCCCTTGGGGGCTTGGACCAGGAACCGTGGCCATGAGGGAGGGAGGCTGGAGGATCGCGAGGTGGCGCTATGGCTCCACCTTAACGGAAGACTCTGGAGCCCGCGGGTCACCCGCACTCCCACAGCAGCTTCCGAGAGGTGGGGCGGCGCAGTCTTGATGGGTTTGGCATCTTTACGGCAGCCACCAAA